GAACAATATGTACTGAATATGAGCTCAGGGGAATTTATAACATTTGTCCACACCAGAAGCTTAGTGCTAATGTGCTCTGCTGAAGACAATAAAAAAAAAGACAGCAACTACAGAACACCCCAGAGCACTAAAAATTCTCTTCAGCATTCCATTCCACACCCTTTCTTTAAACCTTTAGATGGCAAGAACAACATTATACAATATAAAAGCTTAATTTAGGTATTCCTTGAAGATGAAAATAATTTTTGTTTAGAAAGATTCTAAAATCTTACATTGTATTGATTACTTCAGTATAGTTCAAGAACTCTAAAGAGCCACTAGTCAAGCAAGGTGGAAGAAGAATCATTCAGGAAAGCGGCAATTTACCAGATTGTAAAAGCTGGATACATTCTACACATGTACCAACAACTTGCCTCTGGTCTACAAGTGTGCACTATTTGTATAGTAATTGCTGGTCTGCAAGCAAAAATAGATCCAGGAACTGTAATAAGTCACCATTTTTAAGCAGTGTAAGTATGCCAGCTATTTCCTTTCAACAACTGGAGCATGCAAATGTATTTAAAATGTTACTGGGATGCAGATGCATGCCACTAACTTCTGTGAGAACTGAAGGACTTGCAGAAGTGATTTTAGGACTGCTGAGCATCTAGAACCAGTTCAGACCAAGGGGATCTGTTAGATAATGGTCCTAAAGCAGCAAACTTGTCTGCCAGAAGCACTCTGGGGGAAAAAAAAAAAAACCAAAAAACACACCACCACAACACAACAAAACAAAACCAACAAATACTAAGGTGTAACAAGAATCTAACTCTAGCTTTCTGTTGCTTAAGGTAAAGAGACAATATGTCCTTTCAGCTAAATAGAGTTTATTAGATGAAAGTGTAAAAAGCATAACCTTTAGAAGCTATTTGTCATCCCTGTGTTTCCCATTTATTCCCTAGGGTGCCCACTTGGGTGTGCCAACCATTAATCCACTTTTGTCTTGGGTAGACAAAAACATTGTTTCCTTAGGCACGCTAATTTTCATAAAAATTGTGATCTACTGCCAAAGCACAGTAATTTGAAAGTCAAGAACTATTGATAATATAATAGCCAACAAATATTTCGGTCAAAACCCTCAATATTCAGTATTGAAGGAAGCTGGAAAAAACAGTATTTGCTACAGTAATTAATGATATTTGTGCCTTGGGTTACTTAAGAGTTATAACTTCCACATAACACTAATTTAAAACAACAGCAGCAAAAATCGTAACAGCTTGAGTAGATAGTACTTAAATCAAATTGGAGATTGTGTCTTGTTATCTTTACTGGCATTGCTCAGAAATTACTTTGGAAGGGTATTTAATGACACTAGCTGTCTGGAAAAATGGTTCCTTACGAAGCTGAAAGTCATTGAAATAATACACTTACATTTAAGCAATCACTACAGGAATAGAGGATATTTCAGGAAAAATTTAAAGAACAGTCAAGTTTAGGAACAAGCAAAGGCCATTTAAAATCCCTCATAGTTTGCCACTGAAGTTAAAACAGAGCGTTACAGATGCAACTCAGCTGGACACCTTTCCACAACAGATGTATCAAAAATAGAGCGGAAATGCCAACTGTATAAAAACTACATGGAATATTTCATACAAAATACTCCAAATACTTTTCATTATGTAACTTTTATTTGACACACACACTGTGGTAAAAAAGTTCACATGGAATAATAAAACCATCGGAGTGTGAAGGGTTTTTAGGGCTTGGGTTTGTTTTTTTTGTCTATACACATCAATACACAATTAATGATTTTGTTTACAAGTTAACCACATAACAAGTTCACTTTTATCTGCAGGAGCTTTTCACATTACACCTTTATATCGGAGATAAAATGTGCTTAAACACACACAATAGAACACTTCTATTTCAAAATTAAGCATCTTCTCAAGGACTATACTTTTTTATTCTTAATTTAGTAGCTATATAGCATTAAAATAACTGTAATTGAAGTTTTAGTCGCAAAAATGTTCGTAAGGCCATAGGAATGCACTAAAATACTTAAATTCACCAGAGACAAGAAAAATCAATGGAAATCCTGCTTTTGTGGAAGAAGAAAATACAGGTTTTATTTATAAGAATGAGAATGGCATAAGTAGTTCAGTGAATGGAGGAGAAGAGAGACCTATTATCACCTACAGACCAATCCTCAAGTTTATCATTGCAAAATTTCAGTTACATTAATAGATAACCAATTAACAGATGCATTTTCACAAATAACACATTTAAGCATTTTACATACTATTCATGTACTTTCAAATCATTATCCATTCACAATATTTCAGTGTCATATGTATATTCATGACTTCTTTATTCACTTGTGAAAATGATCCACTTAATTCACTTGACTTCAGCAGACTAGTATGGGAAAGGTACTTACAATGGGAAATATTTTCTGTAAAAAGAACTACAGGTCTTACAAGTCAATTAGCATTTTTAAGACTGTCCCCTAAACAGAAAAGTGAGCTGTGTTAAGTTTCATGAGTGGTTTAAACTTTAGCAATAATAGAACTTCCAGACAATAAGTAAATCAAATATTCTATACACACTCAACAAAAACTTCTTGTGCATGTTTGCTGAGCACAGACTGAAAGCTAAAATTGCAAAGCACTGAAAGCAGTTGGGGTTTGTTTTTTTTTTTTTTTTTTTTAACCATTTAGAAAAATATCGGTCAAGATATAGTGCACAGACATGCGGCTGAGGGAGAGAGTCCATAAAACTCAACAGCATAAGCAGCATTTTTGTTTTATCAAAATCCACCAAAAAATGTCTGCCTTTTCCAAAAGGTTAATGAGAATTTCTGGAACAAAACAGAAATACATTTGTTGCTTAATGAATAATGATTATATGACTTTAATTCTAATGGACATTAGAATACTAGCTAATTGACTGAGGTATAGTTAAGCGTCCTTCAAAATTTAATTACATAGTCGTGAGCAAAGCAGCAACAGAGACTGCACAAAACAATCATAGTGATATTAGAAAAGCCTGTAGTACCCAGCATCTGATGCGTAGGCAGAACATACCATATATCATCACCCGCTTGTCTAAAGGAAAATATAGCTAAAAAAATTCCCAGTAAAACATACAGCTGATTTGCACGCTAAGATACAGCACATTTTTCAATGTCTGACAAGGCAGACTGTACACAGAAAGAGGTCTTTACTGACCAAAAGTTAGCACACCGATAAAGTGCAGCCACTCAGCCATTTAATACTGCTGGAGAAAAGGGGTGGGGGCAAAACAACAAAGAAAGAGAGAGAAATCTGCATTTTACCTTATCCATAAGACCACATGAAATTAGAATTCTTCAGTTTCAGCAGGGGACAACAAAATTGCATTAAATTCTTCTACAAATAGAAAAAGATGAACTTTACATGAACATTAAGCAAAGTGAAATATTTACTGCATTATTTTATCATGCATAAAGTGAATTTCCTATGGTCTTACCTCACATTTATGTACAGTTTAGCACAGCTAAATGTAAGAAAATAGCAATTTTTTTTCTCTTCCCCCCTCCCCCCCCCGACCAGATACCCCAATTCGCTGCTGCTTCAAGAAGCACTTCATAGGCTCTACTACTTACAGGCTCTTTCAAAGGGAAGTTCATGGAGACTAATATTGAATGAACATTTAACTGCACAGCGAAGACAGGAAAAACAATACAAAGCATTCTGTAAACGGTGCCAAACACAGAACATGTCAGTTTTGGTTTGTAGACAACCCCTGAGATAAAAATCAAAGTATTACGACACCAAATCAGTCAGAGGTAAATTACTGAAAATAAACAACATTCATTATTGGTGTCACAACACTTTCTGTATAGAAGCACTTTTTTTAACCATACAGTAAAACATAACTGCTTTAGCCTGTCCTAGAAAAACATCAAGGGTAGACAACAGAGCAGTTAGGGTTGCTTTGTTTTTTTCACTAAACCTTGCTGCCATGAAGATTCTTCTGTTTTAGTGCAGCAACAGCAGTTTATGAGATTCCCCATCTAGTTACAATAACTATTTCTATTAAACTACATGTGGGGACAGGTTGATAACCACTTAAAACTTTATGGAACCAGCTACTAATGTTAAACCTTTTAAAATCAGCAGTCTTTAAATCTAATGCTACTGGCCCGTTCACTTTCAAAATATTTACAACAGACCCAGAGATGACAAATTCAGTACCTGACACCACAAAATGAAGCGGTTATCTGGGGTAACAACCAACTCACTGTTTACGACTCTAGACAATGTAGTGAAGCAAAAGCAAGCACGTCAGACGTTAACTTTGACAGTGACAGAATGCACCTATCCCCTAACAACAAACATACCGGACACAAACTTGTAGTTAAAGCTTACAATGGTCCAAGTTTGGCACATGAACAGAACTGAAGCACCTGTTTTCATTGCTCATTGGAGGAAATTTTTCAGAAGACAATAAAAAAAGTAGTAGAACAAAGACTAGGTTATACAATGCTCAGTTGAGTAAAAAAAGGCAACTATCAACTCTGCTTCTAACAGTCTAGGTCACTATACCAGTTTTCGATGCAAAAATAACTTAACTGCTTGAGCAGACCAAAGAGGGCTTCACACATTCAGCATTAACTGCATAACTAACAGTACATTATAGCCCCAATGTGACCGTTTCCTTCGGGCCAGACTGGATAAACTTTAGCCACTTGCACAGGAAGCTAGTTTTTGGACACCTCTGTGGTCAAGGGTCAATGCTTACAGACATTAATGAACTATCCTTAGAATTACAGTAGAAATGGAAGTCACCTTTAGAAGCAGTCATTTCTGAACAAGCGAATCCACAAAGAGGTTACTCAAAACTCATGCATTCAGCTTCCACAAGCCACTTAAGTGATAGTGATGAGGCCAGTTTGTGAGGACAACTTCAACTCCAGAGAGTACTTCCTCATCAGAAGCAAACAAGGTGCAGACAGTTTGAGCTAACGAAGGGAAGTTAAGTGAGGAAAGACACTGTGTTTATTCAAATAACTGAAAGGTGCATCTGTGAATCAGACAGTGACTGGCAATTCAGAACACAACTTTGCTAAGCCTGGTAAAGAAAGAAAAGCAACATAGTACATTCAGAACAGAAGCCATAGCTTCTGCATGAACAGATTTGTGCATCTAAGAGACAAAACCCATACAAATATTTAAATGCCAATTGTTAACAGTAATTCTCATCAATAGAGTGTCAACATCCATACTGCAGTCATGGCCACAAGTATACAGCATAGAAAATAATGAAATGAGACTTAATTTTATCCCTGGCTCTTCTGCTTGAAAATAAATTTGTTTAAAAAGAGAAAGAAAAACCTGCACAAATCTGCTAAGAATCTTACTTACAAGTCAAACTGTGCAAATACAAATGTAAGATTGTGCTGTAACAGGCAGTAAGAGGCCAATATGGATGTGCAAAGTTAAAAGAAACATAGCAGCTTCTGCAACAGGCAATAAAACAGAAAGTAAAAAAGGAAACAAGTTAACTCTTGCATTTGTGTCTCCACTTCATAGCTTCCATATCTGAGAAAGAAGAGCCTGACAGGTCAATAGGCTTAGTGAGCAAAATCCACTTGGTATTTTGTGTATCGCAGTCTACGTTCAATGGAGCTCTCAGCAGCAGCTTGGTGGTATTATTTCTGAGGCTTTGTGACCCTGTGCTTTCAAAGAAGCAGAAGTTCTAAGTGTGCTGCAGTCTATCATTAGAAGTTCATCAAAGTAGCGTGCATCGAAAGAAGCTGCTCTTCTTAGATCGGTTTTCTGTTATTTTTACTGGCCCACCTGCCCCTGATGAACTGTTGTCATTCTGAAAGAGAAAAAGAGTATCAACATCATAAAATGCAGAAAAAAATAAGTCTAGCTTTCCTAGTTTCAATCCCCGCTTCCCCCCGCTTGTAAACCAATAAGCAAAGCAGAGGTTTGTTGCAACTTGAGCACCTCAATTATCTAGACTGTTAATCACTCAATAAAGCTGCCTACTTTAAAAAGAAACACTTATCCAACAATCCATATCTCAAGTATTAGCTGAAGGAGTGATGACATAATTTGACGTTTAATAAAGCCGGGATCACACCATTACATTTCAAAAGAATGCATCAGTTTCAGGCTGCCCAATGATAATGTTCATGAAAAATGATAATGTTCATGAAAAGAACAATTACACACTGATGTGTAATAAAGTGTGATAAAGCACTGTTTGCTCAAATTTGATCTAGCATTCCACTGTAATCCCCAGCAGTTTTTTCATAGGGCTACTGCTCAGCCAGTTATTCTAGCAGTCATGCTATAATATGTGTATATTATGATGTAATAATATGCCAATTGGAAATACAAACCATTTTTCTGTTGAGCTTTGTCATAATGTCCCGTGCAAGTGTGAAAAATGCCTAGTGAGGAACGGGAAGAAAAAAAAAAAAAAGAGTTAGTCACAAGACACATTAAAGACAAGATAGATTTGGAGTAGCCTGACACCTCAACAGTACAGTGTTCTGTAGGCCACTGCTAGCACTTCGAGCTGCAAGGCACTCTATGTACAATAGCTGTTTGCATAAAACTGCAACAAGCATGCTTTAGAAGAAAAAAATGTTTTATTTTTAGTCTCCATCCTTCCAGTCTTTGAAACAGGTGAACAGACCATCCCATCGCATACCTCTTGGGAAAAACAACAAAACACAAACCTTCTCAAGCGAAGGTTGCATACGCTAATATTTTATTATTTTTATTTGCCAAACTGTACTGTGCATCGCAACTAGAAACTCACAGAAACGTTTGAGGATGGCATGCCTGGGAGTTCACATTAAGGTTAGCTTTCTTTCTGTCCTCCAAAAGTTTCGCTCCTTGGCCAGCTATAATGTTATTTATGCTACCAACATCCCTATTTAAAAAAACAAAACAAAACAAAAAAAAACAAACCCAAAAAACCACACACTGGCAAATCTCAGCATCTCAGACTTCAATGTATGAAGGAGTAAAGAAACTTCTGTAGCAGAAAAATCCTGCAATTCTCCAGAAGCAAGGCTTTAGGCTATCTGGAAATACCAACAATCCAAGGACAGCTCCAGAGTGTAAAAAAGCTGTCATCATTTCCCCTCTCGTGTTCAGAATATATCCAAAGACAGACACTCATTTAATGCAAATAAATCACATGAAATAAATTAATTCACTTCTGATCACAAGAATATCACAGTTGTGTCATTTCCCATAAGTTAAGCATCTGGTGCAAAAAGCACTAAATTGTTACTTGCTAAATGCCTATACCAGTTGCATTTTTTAATGCTTTCCTCACTATTCATGTGACAATTTTTAAAAAATATTCAGATAGTCAAGGTGTTTGGAGCAAGCACAAACTAATGTTGTACATTTAATGACCTACAGGAATTAAAATGAAATGCCAGGCATATCTTGAAAGAGCAAGTCAATCATCTGGAGGAACTAATGAAGACGACAGGTACTTTTTATTAGGAGACTGTTGATATCCTCCATTGGCATTAGCTGCTAACATTCACACTTCCATTGCCTGCTTTAAGAATCGCAATGACACTGTGAAAATCAGGTCAAACACTATTCCAGATGCAGCACAATGCAAATAAGTCCTTTCTAAATGTATTGTTTAACAATCATCCTGCAATCAGAAAAAAAACCACTTGGCTGGCACCGCATCAGTCATGCTATTTTAAAGTAATTTTAAACTCTTTAGTTTCTAGCTGATTTGTTAGCTGCATGATCTGATTCAAGTACATGTTTGGAGGACTTTTCAAAGGTATCCCACCAATACACATGGAACGGTACAGAAACAACATTTAAGAACAAGTCTGTCTTATCTGAATGAATATTAATGTAACTGCCTTTTGATATCATATTATTTTCTTGTCCACGGTTTTCAGAGAGTTAAGATTCTCCCCCCACCCTCCTCGAGATAACAGGAGTGATTCATGGTAACATAGACTGGAGTTGAGCTACTCTTCCTTCCGATTCTATTTCCTCATGGTCTCATGAATACGGATCTTGTGTTTTTAACACAAAAATTTTTTGCAGGAAAACAGATTGCAAGTCTGTGGAGAGAGTATTTTAAACCTTCTTCCTCCTCTAACATCAGCTTATGACAGTCTATGCTGATGTTCCAGGTTAACACACAAATCTTCAGTCTCATCTACACAGCACATATTTAGCAGCAACCTGAAGGCTCCTTGACACACTAGCACGTTATTCTGAAAGTAAAGAATCTTGAATACAAGTTCCTGCACAAACCATTGTTCTAAAATTACACGTATTCCCCGTCCAAAAGCCCTTGCAATTTAAGTGGCAAGGCACAGAAGTCTAAAGCAATTGTTTGCTACAATAGTAGTAAACAACTCCGTTAACACCATTTAAAAAACAATTCCAGACACTACCAGAAAACAAAAAACACTGGATTTTACAGTAGCTCTCTAAATATAACAGGATTGGTGACCCAGGAGCACAGTTGGGACTTCAGGTCCCAGATAGGTCAGAAAGCCCAACAGATCATGAAGCATGCCCCCATAGTAGTAGTTCAAGAAACACACCTAAGCGTTAACACCCATCTCTTACCTCTTCCACATTTATGCTGGATTTTGCACTTGTCTCCAAAAATTTGATTCCGTAATCAATTGCTAACTGGAAGAGAGGTTACAGTTTTTCAGTGTTTTTGAAATTCCTTTCTAAAAGGAATGTTTCACACAGGTTCATAATAGAATAGATGCAGTATGCTGCAGCAAACTTTAAAAACAAAGCCAAACTAGCTTAATTTCTGCTTTTCTCTTGCAAAAACATTAAAGTTACTGGACAATTAGACAAAATATTGGAACAGGCCATACCCTTGTGTAAATTCAAAACTAACAAGGTGATTAATTGCTTACAAAAAGACTCATTTAGGACCTAAAAGAACATTAAGATAGAATCTTCATTGATACAGATTTATGGACGAGATGACTACATACAATCATCCTGTAAGCTGTATTACTAAGAACTACACTATTTTAACTCTGTACATCATAGATTAGATAGTATTCTTTCTTTTTGTTCTGCAGGACAATTAATTACTTAAACTTTAATAACAGTACTTATGACAAGAGTAAGTAACCACCATGGTGAATTAAGTATAACATGACCAAACTACATACAAAGCTTTATATAGAGATTTAGAATACTTCATGCTATAGCAAAGGTCAACATTCTTTACAGGATCTTTCCCTCAAGACAATAGTGCCATTAAGTTTATTCAAACTTGAAGACAGTCAAGTGCTATTTAAAAACAAAACCCCAAACCTGCCATCCTATAACATATAAAAGTCTCTGAAACAAGAGGTTTGAGGCCCATTATCTCTCATGTGCCTAAATGATACCAAATATCCAACAGCCATAATCCTAAGAAAAATGGGCTTCTAAATAAAGTCAGTCACCAAAGCTTACCTTCTCCCCTTTTTCTTTTGAGACTTGTCTTTTTTCATTCATATCACATTTGTTACCCAGGATCATTCTTTCTACATCTGAAGAGGCATGCTGAAAGAAGAAAAAGTAATCTCTCAGAAATAAAGTGCACCATTATTTAAAAGAAACTTGTGTCAAACTCACCCACAAATGAATACTTTAATTTTAAAAAGTTATCTAATGTGAAGGCATTACTGAGAAACAGAGTGACTTTTGAAACAGGCAATTTAATATTTAAATATTAAAATAACTTGGAATAAATATTCCTAGATTAAGTTTGCCTGAATATTGTTACAGATCAAATATGGTATCATGAGCTCTGTACCAGGCTGCACACATGCACAGGCATTTGGCCATTCTGGAAACGTAACAGTACACACTTGGAAGTAAAGTGGTGCATGGACATCTGGGGTATTTGGCTGGACTAACATGTGGTACATTTGCATTTTTAAAATATATTATTAATAAAAGACTTCTTAAGTAATAATCACTTCAGTGAGAGGACTTCAACACGAGAACTTTTCTAGTCCAGTCACTGTTAGATCAAACTGGTCACTAATACAGGATTTTTGTTTAAGAGCCAAAGAACAATACTAGAAAAAAGCCCATGGATTTTATGTTTAAGGAAAAAACCTAGTAAGATTCTGTTACCTAACTACAGCTTCACTAAAATTAAGGTTTCTTCTCTAATTTCATAATGACCTATCCCTACTTGACAGCATGTCCCATTAAATAACTTACAATAAGTTAGCAGGAAGGAAGCTTACCCAAGACCAAATGAAAAGGTCAAAAGTCTCAAATCGGACAAACACACAACACAGTAACAACTGAAATTAGACAGTTCTGTCATCATCTCAGTGAAAGGTAGACACCCTAAGATCTTGCTCCTTCCCATTGCTTAGACATACCCAAAAAGCAAAAAAGAACAATAAAAGTCATATAGTAAGAGCAGTTTTAAAACACTTTATGCTTACTTTATAAACTTATGTTTTCTACCTTCTATACCTAAATGAACGAAAGAATATTCTCTCCATCAATAATCACTGTTGCATTCACTGCACAGTCTAACTTGCCTATATATGTTGGCTACTGTAATGAAAGTGAGTAATTACTTGAAGATTATTTGTCCCAGGGAAATCACAGAAAAGACGGAACGAGTGAGAAGTGCTTTCCAAAGCACCTACCTCTTCTATGTTTCTTATCCAGTTTTTTATGTTGTCAAAAGACTTTTCATTTGTGATGTCATACACCAGCATAATCCCCTAAATAAAATTAAGAAAATCTAGTTAGGTGAGCTAGCACTATTGGTTGACTTTTGATGTATGCTGTTGGTTTGATCATACTTGCAAGAAATTCAACGTACAACTCATGCGCCTATAATCCTTTCTCAAAGCATCACGCTATTGCTGAGAATTTACCCAAAGTATTACTGTTTAACATCTCTTGCCACTGGTAGAGGTCAAACACACCACCTATATGAAGTTCTTTAATTATTAGCCTATAGTCAGGAAAAGTTTAGAAATTCTGCTACAACAGCGACCAGGACCCTATTGTTAAAGCCAAGTTTAGAATCAACAGCTTTAAGCAGTCAAAGATCACAAACCTGTGAGATCCAATCTGCTGGGCCCCGTAGATACTTACAGCAAAGATGACACTACGTGCTCTCCCAGAAGCTTTAGCTCTTTTAGGCAGTTATGTAAATATACTAGCATGGGCTCTCAACAATTAGCAAAGCATGGGAAACCACACAACAACTGCATTAAGGACAGATTGGCAGGTTCACCTCCGTTCCTTATTGCCCTTCCAATCATTCCTCGTACGACAAAGAAAAGTCCTTGGCCATGGACTAAGAGGTGGGGAGAAGACCATGTCACTGCCAAAACCTTTTTAAGTACTAGAAAGCTCTAACACAGAGCCACAACCATTACTGTTTCTCCCCATCTATATTCCGTAATAGTGGAGTTATCTGGACCCACAGCCAGCCTACGAATGGAACAGATGTGTTCATACACGGTGATAAGAACATGTAATATCAGCATCGCTAGTAATCAGCAAGTTGAAATGAACAGTGTCCCAACATAAAGTATCTCGAATCATTGCATTAAGAACCATTACAAGCACTGGTACCACAAAGAGTGCAGGCTCTAAGTCAGTTATTTGACTTCAAGTCATTCTTAATGGAGGAAAAAGTAACAGTAGCTTTTGTAGGTGGTTGTATTTCTAGCCCAGTTTCTGCATTCTCTACTGGCTGAAGTAAAAGCAATTCAGTGAAATAACACTTTCAATATTAAAATAATTCATTACCTACTTTTCAAACGTTTCAAATGTTTAAAGGGGTTGATTGCAGTAAAAAAACCACACTCATCTGATTAAAGCTTGGCAACTTAGCTTCTTATTATAATCTACAGAAAATTTAATTATATTTAAGACGACAATAGGGCTTGAAGTTTCATCACAAAAAACAGGACTAGACAAAGTACCAGCAGGTTTAAAAAATGAAAAACAAAAAAACCCACACACACACTACAACCAAACCACAAACTTTACTCCGCGCATCTCAAGCCACAATTATCCAATCCTCCAGTTGAAGACTTACATGATATAACCTTAAGAACAACAAACCAGTTACACTAGTTGTGCCTAATTTTTTTCAAGTGAGAGCACTCACCATGGCTCCTCTGTAGTAAGCTGTTGTGATTGTGCGGAATCTCTCCTGGCCTGCTGTATCCCTAAAATTCAGTGAAAACAAGTATTTGTTGGAGGTGATCTTTACACTCTTCTGTACTGAGAGATGTCTTTTTTTTATACAGAGTAACAATGTATTGACGTTCAACTCATTACAAAAAAAACCCAAAAACACACATTTGGAAGCTGCTTGCACAAGTTTCTTTCAGCCCTCAACATCTTCCTTGCTCCTAAGCTATCCTACTTACATCAGTGGCTACAGCAGCATCATAAATATGGCACAAAAGCGTTTAAGTTTTCACGCAAGCAATAAAATTCAGCACTACACAGCCTTCCCTAGAAAAATTTAAAAAGGCAGCTCCAACGCATCCAAGTCCTGTATTAAACAAAAATTAAAACACGCGGCAGTAAAATATTTTAGGATAGTGCATTTTCACATACAGTTAGCTATTAAAATCAGCCACTATACCATAGGGTGCTGATATTTTACCCTAGATGACTTCAAAGCAGTTTCTGTCTGTGAGTGAACAAGAGGACCAAGGTGTCTGGCTACTAGCCACACCTAGGGGGAGCTGAACCCCAAAGGCCTGACAAAAACCAGCTTTTTGACTTAAATTACAGACAGCAAATTTGTACCAACCACTTCTGGAACTTCACTTCCTTAGCCACAAGAATTCTGGCTCACATGCAAGTATCACAACTATCTTTTCTAGAATTTGAGAAATCAGTAAAAGCCCTACATTCACCAGTAGCATTTAAAGAGTTGGGCATGTGTCATAATGCTACTTCCAAAATATTCATCTGCTGCTATGAGGAGGCTCAGTCTCTACTAACCCACCATGCAAGGAACAGGAGCACTGTCACTCACCTGTGCCTCTGAGAGTACAACTAGGTATCAAAGTATCAGAGGAGGTTACATTTTATTAGGTCACATATTTTAGTTTACAGTAATACTTCTTTTCCACACAGAATACCTACAAGCACATTTAAGAGGACAGCTTTTGATAAAATGGGAAGTTACTGTAATGCTTGCATGTGAACAGGCTACTTCCTGTGCTACTGAAGCAGAACCAGTCCAAGAGCAAGCTAGAAGAAAACATAAACCTTACAGACAGTCAATGAATAAAAGGTATGAAACTTCTACACCTGGGCTCAAAAGTTATGAAGTATTCCTGCTCAAAGATTAATTCAATACTCACTGAAAACTTAAATTACTTTGGAATACTTACCATATTTGTAGCTTGATTTTCTTTCCATCTAATTCTATTGTTCTGATCTTAAAGTCGATTCCTGCCAGAGAAAGAGATACTTTAAGTTTTGCAATAAGTGAAAAGGAAGTGTTCGGTTTCCTTTTGACAATTTGGTACAGCTAACATAGGCAAAAGAATTACTCTGAAGTTGTAATTTCTTCCAAACACTAGGAACTGCTGAGGGTGCACAACGGTTTTCAGCTGCATCCAACATGCCAAGGATAAATTATTCTGCGCAATGAAAATAGACCAAACTCAGACTCACTACTAGAGTTACTCAAGATTATGAGAGGAAGATTTGACCTCAAAATTCTTCCATTTTACACCGATAAGGTCACTAATTCGAATGTATATTTTTCTCAACTTTTGATTAGCCCTTGCAGTTCAAGTCAATTCCCTAGAGCCTCTGCTGGCTCTGAGGAAAAAAAATACATACTATCACCCCTTAGTTCCTTTTCAAAACAGGCATCTACTTTTGAAAACTGATGTCAGACATCACAGTAAATGGTAAAGCATCACAGGAGATAAAAGCCATACAGAGAGTTACTGAAGGTGTCTGAAGTAGATCACACATAGGACTTTTTCAAGAACACCAGTTTAGGAGTAACTTAGATTTTCTAGGAAGCTCCAAAAGGTGTCAAGAAAATACTTCTCTCCTTTTACCCGCTTACACTTCCACATGGTACCCATCAGTTCAGAGATTGATTTAACCCATGGGTGCAAAAAAAAAAAAAAAAAAAAAAAATTAATTCAGAAGGGCTTAATAATGTCTTTTAATGTTGAGAAGGACCAAACAGATCTACAAATCAAAGTAAAGATTTCCAAACAGACTGTCCTTTACCCTGGACTATTTTAACTTTTGTGTCTCTAAACCTATACTATAACATAGCTCAAATTAAGACTGCTCAAGTCCCACTACACGACTGCCAGATTTTTGAATTCCAGGACTGCCACCCCAATTAATCTGTTTTGAAATTAATGGCCCATTTTTTCTTCACTGAATCTTAAATAGTTACTTGATATTTAGTCACAGTTTGTAAAAGATTTGGGGGGTGGGGTAGGTTATTTTATTTATTTGATTTCTTCTTTTCTCAGATGTAATCTAAGTGACAATTATCAAGAGTATCTTAATTGGGAAAATGCTGTTTCTAGTTTTAAGAATTTGTCCACCACTTAAAGAGGAAGCTATGGGATTTTTTTCCATATACTACAGTAATATTTGATTATGAAATATGGGCATTCATTAACTATTTAACTTTCATTCTTCTTGCATGTGATATTAATAGTTTAATATACCAAAAATACCAAGTTTCAGCCACTTAATCTTGATGTGCTAGGGATACGTAGTCTAGTCCATTAGTTAGAATGCAAATTATGAGCAGAAATACCACATCAGCACTTTTAACAGCGTATAAAATTCATTGCATTAATTTAAAATGCTATGACTACTGCTACAATTGCAATTGCCCAAGATTCACTAGTAGGTCTACAGGCAAAAAGATACTTTCATTAATTCACATTCTTCCAAAAAATACAGAAGCATGATGTGTACTTTTAAAAAAAAATCCTTATTATATGTAACAGAAGTTTGGAAAGTGTTTCCATTTTACATTTGATAGGATTTTGTGTCTCCCTTGTTGTAAGGGTTTTTCTCCTAACTAGATGCAACACTTGCTGAAATCACAGGCAACTGGATTCAGGTCTGACAACAAATGACCTTTGCTCTGTATAGATTTTCTTTTGGCCTCAAAGGTTACAAAGCACAATTACAGGATTTTCTGGAAAGGGTATCGTATCGTATCACGAACGGCAGCAAATCAAATCAGTTTTAAGAGCTTCTTTGTGTCTAGGCCCGAAGACTTAGAATTAACAACTATAGGGAAAACTAGGTTCAGAGACTACTGGGGTTTAAAGATAATTCTGTACCTACCGTCAACTATTGAAGCTAAGACACATCAGCATAAACAGTGAGAGAGTCCTGTAGGGATGGTTTTCTGACAAAGCAAGCTTACGCTGCAGTTAGATATCTATGTGCACCAATCCACGCCTTGCACAGACTGGTTTCTTGTGGTTAGGCATTTCCCTCACAGCACCAAAATGATTTATACAGCCATGCCTTTGATCGCTTCTAAAACTCAGGATCTGCACAAAAAATACCTTATCGGAACTTAGGATTTCTAGCAGGAGCTTAACCAAAAATCTCAAATAAAGATGAATTTCAAAGCTAAAAGAAGAATATAAAGGTGAAGGCCATAAATACCTTTGTTATGGTACTAAGAAGTTTAACAAATGCAACTGCAACTTTTTAGAGGCTAAAATGAACCAGAAACTGGTGCTTCTTTTGTTCTTTCACTTCAGTAACAGGAAGTGGTGAGCTGCAAACATTGGTAGAGCAAGCCTGGTGACATGTGCTACCACTTCCTGCCAACTACACTTGCACAGCTAAGTACCAGCAACGTTTTGGTGACAGTTAAATTTAAATTACACCATGTAAGACACGCCAGTGACTATAGCACTTCAAAAGTAATTACTGACAGAAAGTTTCCTTTCCCAGTGAACGCTCGTTTTGCACAGTCACACACTGGGATACGAAAGTCTGAAAAGATACTCAGGTCTAATAAAGAAGAGTCACTTACAAATCTGAAAGTCTGATTGCAAAGGATCACACAGCTTTCACAGTTTTAAAATGCAATGTGCAATGCTGTTCTCTCCAGTGGGGAGAAAAAGCCCAGAAAGAGTTGGATGCCCATCTGAAGTTACATTTCAGAAGCTTTTAGAAAACACAGACCCAGACTAATTCTTAGAATGCAAAGGCTAACAGGATAATTATTTCTAACTGCTAAAGCAGAGTCGCCACACAGAAGTCTGACACACTGGTGTCCACCCAGCAAGTCAGTGCGTATTTGGTAGGGATACAAGAGCATCTGTTGCAGGAATCACAAACTTGCAGTCTACAAGGATGACGTCCAAGTTGAGACCCAAACCGCGCACTGGTTAGAACTCTAACTGCTTGCATTTCCCTTGCAGCATGGGGTAAAAGCAGCCGAGGGCTTATTGTCCTTTTCAGAGCCCTGCTAACTACAGGCCAGACTGCATCCCCACTCCTCACTTTACTGAGGGCATTTTCTCCGATAGTTCCCAAGAAAACTGTCACAGCATACACTGAGCAGAGAAATCTGCACACTAAGAAAAAGTCTCATTAAGTAGCACACAAAGCCTTACACAAAAAACCATGAGACCTGCATGTTGCCATATTTAGCTTGTAATCACTATGCAAAGCTAATAAAATCCCCCAGCTAGGGTATACCATTGTCCAATACCACGCAGCCAAATATCAGAGGCCAGGGAGGCTGGCCTCACCTAGGCCTCTTTCGGTTTAAGCCAAGAAGTCATGTTCATTCTCGTACACCAGAAGCTCTTCTGCCATTACTTCCTCTTCTTCTTTCACCACTCCGCTCCCTAGTTACGTTTCTTCTTATTCCAGCCAACCTAGGCAGATTTTACCCATAACTAAGCTGTAATGCAATCATTTTACAGAGACATTGGGACGCGTTCCAAAGAGCTGCATTACAATACTAAATATACAGGACTGCGCGCAGCATAACATATTGAGAAGTTCCTTTTCCAGCTTTAGTACCAATGATTTGCTACTATGAACCTTAAGAAAACCAGTCTGACGCAATTCTTAGAGGAATGTAAGAACAAGCTGAGCAGAGATGCTGAAAGTTCATTTTGCTACTTTAGTTTTTAGAACAGTAGCTTACTCTCAAGGCATCAATGTTACTCTCTTGTTCTCCCCTCATCCACAATTTTAACCCTGTAGCCATCAGACTAAGTATCTCAGGTTTTTCACTGCTACAGAATCAGTTTCAGCTAGGTCTCCACTACAACTTTTACCTACACAGTACCGCTCTTTGGACTTACAGATTGTCTTGTTTCTTCTTTTAAACAAAATTTCTGTTGCAGAAAACGCTACAGCACAAAGAAACCAAAGTATTCTGACTACAGCAAGTAAACTGTTACAACAGTACCAGCAAATATTTCCAAAAGTAAAGGTGGCTCAACATTAGTTTGCAGCAGCTGGACACGTGAGAAAGCTGTATGGTCAGACGGCAACTGCTGTTGTTTTTAACTCAGGTTGATTTAATTAGGTTTCCCATTTTAATAGGTTTCCCATTTCACCAAGTTCACTCAGTGAACATTTTTCTGGTGCAGCTGTAGCAAGAAATCAGCCAGGAAATCGACCCCTTTCAGGATGCAAATAAATGTCAATCTCTGATAGTGTACACTAGCCTGTATATCTACCACAGCAGCGTATTTCTCCATCTCTGGCAAAGCAATACTTTATTAAAAAAAAAAAATTTACTACTCAATGTTTAGCATTTTAAATGGTTTAGTTGTTTTTTGTTTGGGTTTTGTTGTATTTTTTTTTAAATATACAAGCCAAGGGAATTTTAAGAAGTGATTAAACCAAAAAATGGGTAAAGCTGCTGTGAAAAATTAATATCTGATTCACTTGCTAGAAAGAGTATCATTTTAGACCCACCTATCAAAGAACGTAAAAGATGCACCACAGTATCAAATCTTGTTTATCAAACTAAAAATTATGAGATCTGTATTGCATGACCTGCACATAAAAACCCATCCTCTTAAAGAAGTTATCTTCCTACTTATCTAAATTTTACCTTACTCTTTTAAGTAAGAATGGAAGAAGTAAAACTAAATGGAAATAAAAGATTTTTCCAATGGGATTCCCTGATAAACAGAAACTTTGTGGTACTTATCACCATTAGACAGAGGTCACAGTAAAAAGGAATTCATTACAAGACGGGGAAAGGAGTCAAGGTACAAAGTCTCATGACCCTTTTGAGCAATACAGCATCAGAACAACTGGAATTTATGCATCAACTTTCAAGCTGGGCTCAGTCCAACTTCACAGCATTGGTTCTTCCTGTCCTACTGTGTGTATATGTGGGGTTGTGGAGGTTTTGATTTTTTTAAACGCGCAGAGCTGGAGAGGCAGAGAATTTTGCAACTTCTTTA